GAGGGAGGGAGGGAGGGAGAGAGGGAGGGAGAGAGAGAGAGAGAGAGAGAGAGAGAGAGAGAGAGAGAAACAGCATAACAACCCCTTGGGCAATTACCTTAATTCTCAGTGTTCTAGAAACAGCTGTGTACCAACAAGACAAAACCTCACAAAAATATCAGCGTTCATGTTCTCAGGAAAATGTATGTGGCCCAAGAAGAAAAATTACCTGTGATTCTCCTCTGGTCAGAATCTTGAGATAATTTGTCACTCTCTTTGATTTCTTGCTAATTGAGTGAATATTTAGTTTCGACAATTTATCTTTAAGCGATTCATCCTCATCATTCTTCTTGTATTTTAGAACTAAAACAAAAGAATGCAGTGATACATCTAGGCCCGTGCAGCATAGAAAGTGTGTTTTTACCCAAGTATTCAAGATCAACATTTATATTTAAGATACAAATCCACATGATTGTTGGTTCTCTGTAGCAGATGCCATATGTTCCAGCCCCACTGCCCAATCATAAGTCCAGCTGCCCACTTCCTCATCCTTCAAAACTGCTGTCTGAGGGTGTGAGCCTCAAAGCCCCAGGTTCACTTACCTCCCACATTAAAAGTATCCCAGATACTGAAATAAAGCTCTTCCCCTCTTCTCAGATAATACATTTACTCTCTGGGGTCTCTAGAACGAAGCATCAAGACCTCACTAATGAAAAGACATCCAACCTCAGGAGTCCTCAGATCCTAGAGTGGCTTGCTACTAGCAGACAGTTTTGGGGTAAATTGAGTCACCCCTCTGAGCTTTACTTTTTTTATTTTATTGATATTTTTAGAGAGAGAGGAAGAGGGGATAGAAAGAGAGGGGGGAAGAGAGAGAGAAACATTGTTCAGCTGCCTCCTGTATGAACCCCGAACCGGGGTAGAACCAGATACCTAGGTAGATACCCTGACTGGGAATCGAACCCGAAACCATTTGTTACACTGGCAGATGATGCTCCAACCAACTGAGCCACAGGCCAGGGCTGAGCTTTACTTTTTTAAAAAAATTTAATATATATTTTTATTGATTCAAAGAGTAAGGGAGAGGGAGAGAGAGAGAGAGAGGGAATCATTGATCAGCTGCCTCCTACACATTCCCCCCCTCCCCCCGCCCAACCCCTGACTGGGGACCGAGCCTGCAACCCCGGGCATGTGCCCTGACCAGGAATCGAACTGAGACCTCTTGGTTCACAGGTAGACACTCAAACACTGAGCCACGCCGGCCGGGCTGAGTTTTACTTATTTATCTTTAAAATCATTTTACTTCTCATACTGTTCAAATGCTAAGTATTCCTAATATTTCTTTTTGGTAAGGGTGTGGAGAGATGGACAATCTCATAGACTGTTGATGAGGATTAAACTAACACAGTTTCAGTACAGAACAATTTGGCAGAATCTTATAAAAATTAAAATATTCATAGTCTATAACCAGGAAGTCCATGCTTTTCATAAGCATACAGAGTTTGGTTTGCTATAGCAATTTTTTTCTAGTAGCAGAATGTTGGAAACAATCTAAAAGTTTATCTAGGATCTCGAGGAATCATTTAATAAATTATGACATACTCATAATTGGAATACTATGGAACCATTAAAAAGGAGGCCACATTAACTGGAAGAATGTTCACGACACATGATTACGTTTTTTAAGAACCCAGCAAACTGTGGTATCATACATGTTGCAGGAAGGAAAGAAGGAGAAGACAGAGAGAGAGAGTGAGAAAGAAGAAAGAGAATAGAAAAAAAGACAGAAAGTCTGAAGAAAACTTGATTAAAAACTATGCAAATTAGAATCATGGGAGAGGAAAAGCTTTTCCCTTTAAAACTTTAGAATATTTTAAGCAAACACATAATTGAAAATAATAATACAACAGCTATTATCTGTCTCCTAGCTTTGTCAAATCTTAATTTTGCCTTGTTTCCAATCTTTTAATTAAAAAAGAAATTACATAACAGGTGAAGTTTCTCTGAACCCCATCTTTAATCCCTGCAGGAATTGTGATCTTTAAGAATGGGTTTATTGCCCTAGCTGGTTTGGCTCTGTGGATAGAGGGTTGGCTTGTGGACTGAAGGGTCCCGGGTTCAATTCTGGTCAAGGGCACATGCCCAGGTTGCGGGTTCGATCCCCATTGGGCAGAAGGCAGCCGATCAGTGATTCTCTCTCATCACTGTTTCTCTCTCTCTCTCTCTCTCTCTCTCTCTCTCTCTCCCTCCCTCTCCCTTTCTCTCTGAAATCAATAAAAATATATTTTAAAAAAGAGAATGGGTTTATTATATCTGTATCCATTTTATGCCCTTATTGTGTGTTTTCAGTCATACAATTCATAATATTCTTTTGAATGTCAATCTTTATTAAAATGGTACCAAATTGCATATATTCTTCTGTCACTTGATACTTTATTTTTAAAAATAGCATTTTTTATTTATCCAATTGATGAATATACCCCAGTTAATTTTTATAATTATTATGTTCTCATGATATCACAGTGTATTACACAGTTTATCCACGATCTGAATGAATGTGTAAGCCGTTTTCTTCTCTTTTTTATTTATTTGCTGTTATGAACAATGCTCATTACTTATGGGCAGGAGTTTCTCAAACATATAAACATTGATTTTCTGGGTCTTGGGTGTGGGACTTTTCAACTTCACTAGAAATCATCAAATTGTCCTCCAAAGGGGTGATTCCAATTTACATTCTCACCTGCAGACTGAAACTCAGCACTTAACATTATCCATTAAAAATCTTTTTGCCAATAGTACAGGCTGGGAATGATATGTCATGATTTTAATTTGCATTTCCCTGATTATTAGTGAAGCTTAGCATTTAAAAATGTATTGGTCTTTCTGCCCTGGTCGGTGTTGCTCACTGATTGAAGTGTCAGCTTGCAACACTGAAAGGTCGCAGATTCAATTACAGGTCAAGGACACATAACTGAGTTGCAGGTTCGATCCCCTGTCTGGTGGGGGGTTCGTGTGGGAGGCAACCGATCAATGATTCTCTCTCATCATTGATGTTTCCATCTCTCTCTCTCCCCTCCCACCCTCCCTTCCCACTCTCTCTAAAAATCAATAGAAAAAATATCCTTGGGTGAGGATTAGCATTAACAACAAAAATATACACAAAAAACTTTATCGGTCTTTCTGTAAAATGCTTATTTTTATTATTAACTTTTTATTATATTTTATTATTGATTTAATATCAATAATTACATATTCTAGATAGTAATCCTGTGTCTATGGGCTGTCTTTTCATTGTGTTTATGGTGTCTTTTTCTTTGCAACGTTCACTTTTTACTCTGTGCCCTTCTTTATCATTTATTAATACAAATACCACTTTTAAAAAATATATATTTTTATTGATTCCAGAGAGGAAGAGAGAGGGAGAGAGAGATGGAAACATCAATGATGAGAGAGAATCATTGATCGGCTGCCTCCTACACATCCCCCACCGTGGGGATCGAGCCCACAACCTGGGCAAGTGCCCTTGACTGGAATCGAACACGGGACCCTTCAGTCCACAGGCTGACGCTCTATCCACTGAGCCAAACCAGCTAGGGCCCACTTTTTAAATTTACTAATACAAATAAATTAATTTATTATTACAAATACATACCACATTTTGAATTATTAATAAAAATACATACCACTTTTTGAATTAAAAAATTAGAAAATAAAATAATAAAAATAAATGGAGTGGTTGGACCAGAAGTCCTACCATTATTTTAATATTGAAGTGAGATTTGATGTTAGAAGTACAAAGCAAAAAAAAAAAAAGCCCAAAAAACTTAAGGGAACAAATCCCACTGAGAGAGGACCCACGATCTATCCCAATGCACTCCTACAGGGCCGGTGTAATTGTGCCTCCTGTTTTGAAATCTACATTCTATGTTAGACACCAATTTTACATCTCAGCTAACAGAGTTAACAATACTTTGTTGATCTGAGAAAGAAATACACTTGCTCCCTTCAGTGGAACCATTACTGCCCTCCAAATCTCCCTTCTTTGTGTGCCGGAACCAGGTGAGCTGAAGTGTTAGCTGGGCCCCCTCGCCTGGATCTGCACCTTTCACCACCAATTGTTGGCTCTAGCAGCCTAGCTTCTCACTGCTCCAGCTACCCGGCCTTGCCATGTCTCCTTCTCACCACACACACTGCCAGAGACGGCAGGGCTAGAGGCTCTGGATGTCTTTAGCCCACAGCATGTCACCAGGCATGCAATGGTCACAAGAGGTTAAGTACAGGGCTGTTGGATTTTTTAAAAATATGTTTTAATTGATTTCAGAGAAGAAGTGAGAGAAAGATAGAAACATCAATGATGAGAGAGAATCATTGATTGGCTGCTCCCTGCATGCCCCCAACTGGGGATCAAGCTACAATTCAGGCATGTGCTCTGACCAGGAATCAAACCAGGGACCTCATGGTTCATAGGTCGACGCTCAACTACTGAGCCACACCTGCTGGGCTGATTTTTTTTTTAATGGTCATTTTTGTGCCTTATAATCTTCTCCTGAACCCAGCTGGCAAGGCGCAGCCACACTCTCTTCATGATCACTGCAGCTGCTCTAACGGCTCTGACATGCTGATTCTCAGAAACAGAAACAGAGCACGCCAGTCGTGGAGAGCACCCGATTCATCGTATGTCTTCTTACCTAAATCTTTCCGTCTTTTCAGTTCATTGATGTTTACATTGATGTCTTTCACAGCAGCACAGGCATCCTCCAGGGCTCTGAAGTCTGGGTGAGAGGGAGGGGTAGAATTGCGAAGTTCGCACAGTAATAGGGGGTATTTCGTCACACGCTGGATTGGTTTGATCAACAAGGAGCTCATGTTAGTTAGGTTCGGTTTGCCTCTACAATAGAGATAAATAATGTCAGTTTGGCGAACATTAGTTTTATTATCTCCTTTTAAGGTTTGTGATTTTTGTAATGTTTAATCCTGAAACTGTTTTTCCTCCCCATGCCATCCATTTGACTATGTACAATTTCTAAGTGAAAGCAAGAGCAGTGGGTGACTGAAAAGATGCTACTACCAAACACAAACCTAAAAAAACACACAAAAGACCCGCACAACAAAACAAAGCCACACAACAAAACAAAACCACACAACAAAACAAGACCTGAGTATATCTTTCCATCAAAAAGGATTCAAAGCATCATTTCCATCCATGTCCCATTTACAGGTTTTTGTTAATAACAGGCTTTATGATAATAGTGGGAAGCAAACAATGTCAGAATGCACTTTTCCATGACAACCAAGAAAAACTCTTTTACCATTGGTATTTTTCTGATTATTAGTGAGGAAAATAAACTCATTATTTAAAAATCTAAACAGATGACTTGCCAACTATAGTCAAAACAAATCACGGTCTTCTCCCTTCTACCAAATTGCGAAGTTGCCTTTATATTGGGTCAGAGCTTCTATCAGTCCCCAAAGGAGATTTATAAGAAATGCAATAGTTCGGAGAAACCAAGATGGCGGCATAGGTAAACACCGGAAATTGCTGCCTCGAACAACCACTTCAAAAATACAACTAAAAGACAAAACGGGCATCATCCAGAACCACAGGAAGGCTGGCTGAGTGGAAATTCTACAACTAGAAGGAAAGAGTAAAGCACACTGACACTCAGAGGAGGTGCGGAAGTAAAGTGCAGAGGTACGGAGGCTCGTGAGGAAAGGGCTGACAACTGAGGATGCGGTTGTCTTTTTCAATCGGGAGGGAGACAAAAGCTCCCGACTGCTCTGAACTCCAGTTCCAGGCGAGTCTCTGGGGACCCAGACTCATACGGGGAGAAACTGGACTGTCTGGCAGTGGGCAGAAGTCGAGGGCGGCTTTCTCTCAGAGGTGCTTGCAGCGATTACCAAGGGACACTGAGACCCAGGACCTCTTAGGGCAGGAATGAGGATAAGCCATAGCTGTTCGCTCTGCCCTGTTGATTCCCTGAGACCCCGCCCCACCCAAGCTGTGTGCAGAGGCTTTTGCATATGAATGACCTGGCCCTTTGCAATCTAAAATTACCTAACAAACTGCAGCTGGGTCAGAGAGACCCAGAACATCCAAAAGAAGGCCCAAGGCCCCACAGCAGCTTGCATTGCTTCACAGCTGGGCCTCATC